ATGACTTTGTCACCCAGGTTGAAAATCATTTTCATGACGTGCAGCAAAACATGTGACATGACAGAACCAGTTTGGTCAGAAGAGCTTCCCGTTCTCAGGAGAAGACAGAGACAGAAGGTGTGAGGGAAAACGAGAGAAGTGTGGCAGGAGGTGTGTTCAGTCAAGGAAACGTTTGAGCTGGACTTGGACGGGCTCCAGGTGGTGCGAGCTGAGGTGAGGGCACATCTGGATGCAATGAAAACATTTCTACATCAGAGAAAACGCTGCACTTCTCCCAGAACTGTAAAACTCCAAATCATGGCCATGAGTTTTGAGCTCGGCTGGACTCGGCACAGTTTGTGCGTCCATTTGTGTCAAAGTGCACATATGCGTCAATGCCAAAGGTAGAAACATCTGCAAAGAGCAAGGTTTTACCAGAACAGAGCAGAGAGGTGGTGCAGGCAGCCAAGGTCACGCTGCTCAACCACTTTGACATGAACACAGAAAGTGGGGCCTCATCTCTGTATGTAAACCATCACTTCTAGAAGAGATTTGCAGATTGCCTCCTTAAAACGCCATCATTTGGTTTCTTTTGTCTTGTTTGAATCAGGCACCTCGGGCGACAGATTGTGTTTCCCTCTTTATAAAAGCCAAGAGACAAACACAGGGAGATGTTGAAATGCTCTTTTGCAATCACTGGCTTCGTCTGACAGATACTGAGAAGTGATGGAATTTTCACAGGAAGAACATTCAGCCTGGTGCAACATGTCCTGGAAATCCCCATAAATGTTCCCCAAAACACACTGTGTGTGTGAACATGAGCAAAGTGCAAGGCAAAGGCTGTCAAAACAAACTCAGATAAGACAAGAATGTGTTGACTGTAGTTGGTGGGTTGAGTCGATACACACTGTTTGTAGCTAGTGGTGTAGCTCACTGTTGGGCGGTCGGTCCAGACTGAAATATTTGTTTTGTTCAAACATTTGTGGTCTCCAGAGGGTGAACCCTGCAGATGTTGATGAAGCACAGTCCTTCATCTCAACCTAAATTTAATTCCAAACTGCTGAAATATCACTGCAGCAGAGCACACACACAACAGAACAGTTGTTCCCTCTGCCGTCTGGATCCCAGGGGCCAAACCTGGACATTGAACACCATCGTCAGCTGCTTTGACAGACAAGTGATTCACACGTGTGTTACTCCACAGTGTTTATCACTCAACATCTAATACTACAGGCCTCATATGGCCTTTGACATGGTTTAAAAACCCTAAAATGATCTGGGTAACCTTGTGAGGACTGCATTTTTGTCCCCACAATGTACACACACACACACACACACAGAGACTTTAGGCTGAGCTGCTGAAACCGAGCAGCAGCAGAACATACGGAGGCAGAGCTGGGTGAAAGTAATGTTTAGAAAAGGTTTGGGACAGTTTCAGACTTCACTTTAACCTTCACCCGTTAGTTTTTGGCTCCACTGAGCCTGAACAAACAAGTTCACAGATGGTTTAACCTCTGTGTGTGTTTATATCGTATGCATAAAAAATGTGGCTACAAGATGTACCAATACGTGTCTGTGCTGGAATGTGTGTTTCCCAGCATTTCTGTATTCGTCACTGGTGAGTGTTTTCCCTGCAGCCGAGTCGACAGGCAGCAGCTTGTCTGTCGACTGCACAGATGTCTTTGTATGGCTGTGAGGGCACTCACTGACAGAAGGCACTTCCTGGTCTCACACCCTAAACCTGATTCCAACCTGGACCCTAAAACCAGCTCTCAACAGGCCTGGTGATTTTATACGTTTTAGTTTTTGCAAATCCAACAACTGTCTGTCTTCAGACACTGTACAAAGTGACGAAACACTAATGATCATTTCCTCCCTGACGGTTCAGGTCTTGCCGTTGTCCTGACCTCATATCTAGTTTTTGCAAATCCAACAACTGTCTGCCTTCAGACACTGTACAAAGTGACGGAACACTAACGATCATTTCCTCCCTGACAGTTCAGGTCTTGCCGTTGTCCTGGCCTCATATACACAGGCGTGTGTGTGTGTGTGTGTGTGTGTGTGTCATTCTCAGCTCTGACCAATCGGCTCAGTTTGCCACAGGTGGACTCAGAGCTACAGGATGCAGCTGAACACAGTTTGGAGCCACGGCAGAGGCTTTTAGAAAGGAGAGATTTCAGTTTTTGATTAACAAACTTGCAAAGACGTATGCCTTATTTTGGCATTCTGGTCTATCGAGGGTCTATCGACAGGCACAAACGTCAGACAGCAAGTAGAGTGTGAAGAGGCTGCATGTCAACAGCCCTCTAGCTGAAGTCTTCAGGATGTCATGTTGATGCCCTTTGAGATTTCCTGTTTTCTCTCTGCACCCTCTTTTTCCTGTTAACAAGTCAGCTGAGACAGGAAACAAAAAACAGGACCAGACAGCTTCGTAAAACATTGTGCATAAAAATAGCTTTATTTCCAATAATAAAATCAGAACCAATGATTCATTGGCTTCTCCACTCCACTGGTGATTTACATGTGGTGTTTGTGACTGTAAGCAGCAGAACACACACACACACACACACCTGTGCCCCGTGCTCCCCGTCAGACCTGGAGCTGATTACCAGTGGCTCCTCTCATGTTCAAGTCCAAATCTAACCAGATTTACTGGCGTCTGAGGCCGACGCTGGAAGGAAACGTACCAGTATTTTCACAGTTGAACTTTAGTGTTTTTGGGAAGTAAAGGCCTTGAATGAGTAAGTGAGTGGGCGCTCGTGTCGGAATGGACCTTGAATTTTCCACATTTATCTGCTTCCAGTTTGGCCACAAAGGAGCAAAACAACAAAATGCACCGAGTCATCAAACCCAGGTCTGCTGCCGACAGCACGGCTCATCACAAACAATTCTACAAACAAAGAAAAAACATAAATACAAAAGCAAAAAGTCTAAAAGATAATAGAAACTCTTACAAAATAAAAAGTTTCAAAACTATTTGCCTCAAAAATCTCAAACTAGTGTATATAAACTTTAAAAATCACATATACAACAGCCTAAAAAGGGGGAAACACCCCAACCTGAAAGAAGGCAATAAAATAATCTGACAGTTAAATTAATACAAAAACAAAAGAAAACATTGATCTACTGAGAAAGAATAAAAAAACAAAAACACTGGAGACCACTGAGAGGAGGCTAGTATTAGCACTGATTTACAGTAAATCACAACGTCGCTGCTCAGAGAAAACCGACAAGACTATTTGGCATTTAAATATATTTGGTAGATATTTTTATTGCCAGGATGTGGCTGAAGTACCAAGTTATGACATGTTTTTATGTAATGACTATATACAAATCCTTGGCAGAGCAGTCTGTGTGCCGCTGTGTTCAGCTTCGAAATGTGAGCTTCGACCCGTTGAGCTCGGCTTTAGCTCAGAGACCCCACACTGAAAATAGACAAACTGTCACTGTAGCTTATTGACAAAGCATCAGCCCCGTGGGTTAAAAGAACAACAGAAAGTACCAACAACTAGTACAACCGATTACTAATGCTACCATCACGCCTCAGGTGAGAAGCTTCATGAGTTAAAGGAACAGTTCAAAGCTTATTTGCTTTCTGGGGACAGTAAAGAGCTGAGGACTGAACGCTGAAAAAAATAAAAAAAAAGACTCACCGGGTCTTTGGATTTACACAGATTATGCTAGTATATGCAACGCAATTCATTCATATTTCCTCTGTTAACATAATTCAAACAAGTTAACCCCTAAAGAAAATGGTGTTGGTTTTACACATTATCATTGTGTGGGACCGATGTACACATACAATCAAGTAAATCCAACAAATCTTTTTTTTCAGTGAAGTCTGTCTGCTACACACACACACACACACACACACCTACAGCACAAAGGCTGGGAACGGTCACCAACATGTTAAATCAACCGTTGAAAGTAGAAAAACTGAAATGTAGAAATGACAAGTCACAGTTTTACAGGGATTACGTGCCAGTGGCATTTTGGCTGGAATAGTAACGTCCCGGAGTCAAGACGCAGTTTGGTCCACATCCTCCTCATAAAACTGTCCTTTTCACACCGTTTAATCTTTTACAAAGAAAGCACTGCATGTTATTCAGTGAACTTCAAGCTGAATGTGTCACACTGCCCCAGTGAGACTTCAAGTTCACTGCACACGAATTTCTAAGTTCTGATATAAAACACACACACAGGCCATTTTTACGATGACTCAGAACAGATTTACTCTTATATTGTCAATGTACAGTACAAGAAATGCTCCTATAACCTGATCTCAGACGTGCACGCTCACAGTGAACGGGGAGGTGCTGCTTTAGGGGAAGGCCATACCTTTGGACAGAGCCAGGCTGGCGGCTCCCAGTTTGCAGCCCCGGTGCTGAGCTAAGCTAATCTGCTGCAGCACAGACATGTGAGTGGGATCATAAAAGCACATGACGTACACATCACAGAAGTTTAATGTGACTGTGACAGGGGGCCAGCAGCTCATATTTTAATGTCAATTGTCTAATTTTGTTCCATTGTCCATGTTTACATGCTGTTTTTAGCTGCTTCTGCTGAAAAGTCTGCTTCGTGTGGTGTTGACATGAAAGGTGGTTCTCTATTTAAAAAGTTCAAATTAAAACGCCCTACCATTGAACAGAGATTAAATATCTTAAGAGAACTAAAAGCAGTGGTTAATAAACCATGACCAATTTTTTGACCCTGTCCACTAAAATGAGTCTATCGTGACCTCTGCTTCTGTCATCGCTCTGTGGGAACTCTCCCACCATGTGCACAGCTGAACCATGGGAGCATCTCTAAACAAAATTCTCTTGTCGCAGACAGTCCTGTACTTATTTGCCGACGTGGTTTGTTCTGAACCGAACTGGCTTAAGCTGCTTGTTTAGCAGAAACTCACATGCAAACGCGTCCTGACCCTTGGTTGGCGCTCTCTCTTTTGTTTGAGTTTTATAAAAATGAACAAATATTGTAATATTATCACTTCTAATGATGACAACATAGATGTACACTTGTTCGATTCAAATCCCTTTCAATGTCAACTCTTCTTTCTTTAATAGAAAAAAAATCTTAATCTCTGCTTTACAAGGAGTTTTTGGGAAGAAAAAAAAAAAAAAATCAAATAAAGTGTCCATTTAAACGTCAGGTGCTATGGTAACGTGAGAAGCTTGAGTCCAACAAACAGGATGTGGAAATAACCGGCCTTAACATGTAGCACAGCGAGACAACAATCATTGCACAGTGTTAGTGTTTTTAACTGGAAGCAAAGCAAAAAGAGGAAGGAGAAGAGAAAGTTCTCCAAGTCCACAGTTTGTAAGTTCTGTTGTTTTTTACTCTTGACATGCAGACAACATGACAAAACATCAGGACAGATGATCACGGTGTACCGCAGCTGAAGGAGTCCTCTCCTGTCGCTCCTTTGCCTTGTTTGACAGAACCGAAGCCTCCGATTGGTTAAGAGAGCACCAATAGTTGTACTCAGCAGGCGGACACGTCAGTGGATCGATGGGGTTGTTGGGGCTTCTCTCCTGGTTCATTAGCGAGCGTCAGTCCACTGCACAGTCAGAAGAAAAGTGAGGAAGAGGCACTGTGAGGCCACACCCTGGCCCTGCTTGGGTTTGAAGGGTTGTGTGTCTGTGTGTGTGAGGTGGAGGGGGGGGTGGAGGCCAGGATCTATGCGTAGATCTCTGTGGTGGGGGCCTTTTTGTAGATGGGCTTCTTCCCCAGATCATAGCTACCCTCATCCTTCTTCTTCAGGCAGTAGATGAGGAGCGAGATGAGGACGACGGCGAACAACAGACCAACGGCGCCACCGGCGATCAGAGCTGGAGACACAAACCAGGGACGAAAGTTATGTTAGACTGAAAATATGGAAGGAAGACGAAGCAGATCTGAGTAATTCATGTCTGAGAATGATTTCTCTTTAATATAACTGCAACGAGGATTGCCTTTGCATTTCCACTCATGGACAAGAGCAGCAGCCACAACTGTAGTTGTGCCGACATCCATGTGCAAACTTT